AGCAAGTGCAAACTGAAATTAAAAACAAAATACTGTTTACATTAACGCCCCAAAACTACATACTTAGGTTTAAATCTAATAAAATGCATACAAGATTTTTATGAGAAAAACTGCAACCCTGATGACAGAAGTCAAAGAGGAACTAAATAAAAAGATATAAGTAAATATTCTGCAGAAAGACTCAATACTGTCAAGACGTCAGTTCTTCAAAACTTGACCTGCAGATTTAATGCAATCCTAATCAAAATCTCAGCAAGTTATTTTGTGGATGTTGACATACTCTAAAGTTTAGATAGGGAAGCAAAAGGCCCAGAATAGCTAACACAACAATATAGTAGGAAAACAACAAATTTGGAGAATGGATACTACCGAACTCCAAGACTTACTATAAAGCTACAGTAATCAAGATAGTACTGTATTCATGAAAGAATAGACAAATAGATCAATGGAACAGAACAGAGAGCCTAGAAATAGACCTTCATAAATACAGTCAACTGATCTTTGACAAAGTAGCACAGACAATACATTGGAGTAAAATCGTCTTTTTCAACAAATGGTGCTGAACAACTGGACATCCACATGCAAAAACAAAGAAGCATGAATCTAGATACAGACTTTATGCTCTTCACAAAAATTAACTCAAAATGGATTACAGACCTGAGTGTAAAATTCAAAGCTATAAAACTCCCAGAAAACAACACAGGATAAAACCTAGATGACCTAGGTATGGCTATGGCTTTTTAGACATAACACCAAAGGCATGGTCCATGAAAAAAAGAATTGCTAAGTTGGACTTAATTAAAATTAAAAGCTTCTGCTCTGCAAAAGACCACAATAGGAGATGGAGGAAATATTTGCAAAGACAAATCTGATAAAGGACTGTTACTTAAAATGTACAAAGCCCTCTTAAACTTAACAGTAAGGAAACAACCTGATTGAAAAATGGGCCAAAGGCTTTAACAAACAAAAGAAGATATACAAATGGCTGGTAAGCATGTGAAAGCAGCTGCACATTATATGCCATCAGGGAAGTGCAAATTAGAATAACAAGATACCACTGTATTAGAATGGCCAAAATTGTGAACAATGACAGCACCAAATATGGAGGAGGATGTGGATCAACAGGAACTCTTCACTAATTACTGCAGAGAATGCAAAATGGTACAGCCACTTACGGAGACAGCTTGGCAGTTGCTTACTAAACTAAATGCTTTTACCACACAATCCAGCAATCACACTCTTTGGTATTTACTGACGTCCACACAAAAACCCTCATGTGGAGCAGCTTTGGTCATAATTGCTAAAACTTGGAAGCAACCAAAGATGCCTTTCAGTAGGCAGTAAATAAACTGGTATATCCAGACAATGGAAATATTATTCAGTGCTAAAGAGAAATGAGCTATCAAGTCATGAAAAGACCCAGAAAAAACTGTATCACTAGGTAAATGAAGTTAATCTGAAAAGGCTGTTATAAGATTCCAAAGATACTACATTGCAGAAAAGGCAAAACTGTGGCGACAGTAAAAAGATTGCCAGGAGCTAGGACAGTGGGAGGGATGAATAGGCAGGGCACAGAGGATTTTTAGGGCAGTAACACTACTTTGTACGGTACTATAATGTTGAATACATGTCCAGATCCACAGAATGTACACCACCAAGAGTGAACCTTGAACTATGGACTTTGAGTGATGAGGATGAGTCAGTGTAGGCTCATGGACTGTAATAAACGCACCAGTGTGGGGGCTATTGATAATGGGGGGAGCGGTGTGTATGTGTAGGGACAGGGGTAAATGGGAAATCTCTATACTTTTGTTACCAGTGGAGGGTGTGCAGCATTTTGAAAAAATTGGACAAATGCACAAAGCAAGGACAGAATGGAAGCAACAAAAGCAGAGATTGATTGAAAACGAAAGTACACTCCACAGGGTGGGAGCGGGCCTAAGCAAGTGGCTCAACGGCCTGGTTACGGATTTTTCTGGGGTTTAAATAGTCTCTAGAGGTTTCCATTGGTTATTTGGTGTACACCCTACGTGAACTAAGAGGCTAAAGTGAAGTTAGTTACTTGGTGTACACCCTATGCAAATGAAGAGGATGAAGTGAGGTTACAAAGTTTTTTACTTGGTGTAGAAAACTGGGGTTTTTCTCTTTGATTTAGTTGCAGGAAGCCCTTAGGTTACCTGCCTCCCGATCCTATTGTCCTGCCTCACTTTCTTTCCAATTTTGCTGTGAACCTAAAATTGCTCTAAAAAATGAAATTTTAAAAAAGAAAATAAGCCGGGCGCGGTGGCTCAAGCCTGTAATCCCAGCACTTTGGGAGGCCGAGGCGGGTGGATCACAAGGTCAAGAGATCGAGACCATCTGGTCAACAAGGTGAAACCCCGTCTCTACTAAAAATACAAAAAGTTAGCTGGGCATGGTGGCGCGTGACTGTAATCCCTGCTACTCAGGAGGCTGAGGCAGGAGAATTGACTGAACCCAGGAGGCGGAGGTTGCGGTGAGCCGAGATCGCGCCATTGCACTCCAGCCTGGGTAACAAAGAGCGAAACTCCGTCTCAAAAAAAAAAAGAAAAGAAAAGAAACATAAATTGCAAGTAAGTGTCACTTACATAAAAACAGTTAATGTCCCCATATCAAGAAGAAAACACCTGATTCAATGTAAAAACGCTAAAAAGAGCCAAGAAAAATGCCAAGGCATGGAAATTCACAGAAGCAGAAACAGGCAGTAAACTAACAATGCTCAATCTCGTTTATTTGAGAAATGGAAAGTAATATTTCAGTGACATACAAAGGAATAACAATCATTTTAGGAACAATTTAAAAAATAACACGTGATGTGGCTCAGGAAAGATTCATATTCTCACTGTAGGAAGGTAAGTGAATCATTTTGGAGGTCAGTTTGGAACTTAGAAGTTCAAATGCATCTATCTTTTTTCCAGTTCTAGAAATGCATCTTCAGAAGTGCCCTTCCCTTCCTCACACACCCCTAAGTGTACAGAGATAAATGTCACGGATGTGGACTGCAGTCTTTCTAATACCAAAAATTAGTAAACAACCTAAAAATCTATATCCATGAGGATTTAAAGCAGTCCTGCACAAGTCAGAATAAGGTCGATGCCTGTGTACTTGGTGTACAGACAATAACAAACTGGTTGTTAGATGAAAAAAGCAAGCTGTGAGTGATTCAGTGTGCAAATGCAGCAAGCAAAATACATTATATATATATATATATATATATATATATATATATATATATATATATAGCTTACACGCAGTACTTTCTCATGTATTTACCTTATGAGAGTGTGATGCCTCCAACTGCATGGCTGTGGCTCCAGAGCAGGACCTTGTAACAGCCTCTGCCCTGGGCTGTTCCTCCTCTGAGGGGCTTTTCCCTGGGAAAAGAATCAGGTTTGATTTTCGATCTCTTTTGTTATCGCCACGCTGACAGCTTTGATTGTCATATGCCTTTCCCTCTGCTGTACTGATTTTATCTTACAGAAGCTCTTCTTAATGCTTAATCAGACACTCCTTCTTTCCAAAGAGAAGCCAGCCATATTCCCTGGTCATCTGGATGAGCTCGGGGCGAGTCCTGAGGATCATCTGCCTCCCATCAGCCTGATGCTCCAAGTGGTGAGGAGTTGCCTCCTGGCTTTTTCAAGCAACTCAGAGATGTGCCAGGACTACAGATGATGGTGGCTCTTCCAAGTCCCTGGAGAGTGACTCAACGCCCGTTATCAAGACGTGTCACACAGGCTATGCACCAACAACTCTACAAGCACTCTTCACCTTGACAAAGACTTTGCACGTTTTTTCTATAAAGGGGCACACGGTAAATATTGTAGGCTTTGCAGGCGAAACAATCTGTCCTATAATTCAACTTTGCCCTCTGTAGCAGTGAATCAGCCATAGATAATATGTAAATGAATGCACATGGTTGTTTGCTAATAAAGTTTATTTACAAAAACAGCTGCCTTTGAGCAGTTTGCTACCCCAACATAGACCGTGGGGAGTCCCTGGTGTTGGCAAGTTGTGGGCAGCCCAGTACTCCATCAGTGTGGCTGGTGCCATCCCCTCAAGCCTGCCCACACCCAGACCCTTTCTGGTGTCCCTTCAGAAAAACTTCCAAAATTCTCAAAAAGCATAGGGGAGTCATTTCCCTCACCTTCTTACAGGGGAGGGTTCTTCTTCCAGTTCCACCCGCGTCAGTATGGAGCTCAGGGCCATCCCTGCCTCCTCTTGGCCACAAACACAGACCTTCCTACACAGGCTCAGCAGCTCTGCAGACTTGTCCCCCAGCTGGAGCCACAGGCTTCCACTCCTGGGGACACAGGTATGACCATGGCTCTGCAAAGCAGCCTTGTGCTTAGCTCCCAAATCGGCCAGCAGCCCAGAGTAGAAGAATTCTGTGGATCACCGCCAAGGCAGCAGCTCATTTGGGAAAGCCTGGCTTCCCTCCCTTCACCTGTGCAACCCAACCCTGGCCATGCATATGGCAGAAAAGCTGCAATCTGCCCTCAGCACTCCCAGCCCTGCAGGTGGTTTGGTGTCTGAGCATCGTGGCACTGCTTTCTCTCTGAGGCCTTGCCAGAGCCAGGGGATGCAGCCTGGCAGAGCTGTCACTGGTCTCCCTGGTGCTTTCACAGCTGGGCTGTGGGTTAGGAGCGAGTTTCCATGGATAAGGCTGGTTCATAATCAAGTGCTCTGCGGTCATGTGGCAACACAGACTCAAGGATGCCTTCCCTCAGGGTGGTGAGCCCAGGTAGAGTCTGGGTGTTTGAAGCAAGCACGCCTGTGATAAATCCCTGTTTTCACTCCCATCCCACAAACTCATCCAGACACTGCCGGCCCACTGCCGACACACACGCGTCTGAGGGAGGCTGAGGAAAACAGAACCCTCGAGGAGCCATGTTCTTTCCTGACGTGCAAGCCAGACAACGCTGAACTGGAGTGCCTGCCAGCGTCCCGGGCCTCCCTGCAGGGAAACACTCTCATAGTGAAACTCCTTTTTAAAGAAAGGCTTTATTGCTGCAATTAGACATCCCAGTGTATAGCACAAACCCCCTTTTACAGAGAATTATTCAAGTGGTAATACTGAGAAACAGTGAACATACACCAAAGAATACAAAACTAGACATTTAGATTACTAGAAACTTTCTAAGAAAAATTTGAAATGTGAAGTGCCTTTTAGAAACTACACCACACAAGCCAGTGTAAATTTGGTTTAACGATCAATTTCCATAAACATTGTATCTAACTGTGCATTGATCAACTGCACAACTTCAACAATTACTTTCCAAGACAAAGAGAAATGCTTTTATTTCCCTATGTTTTGGTCTTTCCTTGGGCTAGAGGTGGAAGCTGCATGTTTCAAGACAGATTCAAAAGGGAAAGCACTTCAAAGGGCAAAGTACTTTAAATGTGTATTTGCCTCCAGCCACATCCACAGCCTCCTGGATCTCACCAGGTTGGTCCCAGCCCTTCTCCAGCCCTGTAGCCCACACCAGGGATGCAGAGGCAGCCCCGGATCCTGCAGGCATCAACTGAGGCTCCCAAACTGGCCCAGCTGCCTATAGGCATGCCTATGGCCAGGTAGGACACATGTACAGGTTTGAAAACTAGGCCTACATGATTAAAGAGTGGACTGAAGCAAAAAGGGGAGAAACATTAGAGGTCTAGAGTAGGAAGGTTTATAGGGTTTTCAGGAAATTCTTACAATAAACTTGGGCACAAAAAGCAAATTGCTGAGGCCAAAAGCCTGCATGTGCTACTGTGACTTACAGGGAATAGAGGCCAAATCAGAGAGGGCTGGCTGGTGATACCCCAGACCACTTGCCTCTTCCCCTTCCCTGGCCCCGAGCCCTCATTCTGGGCTTCTATATGGGTCAACCAAATGCCATCCTTTCATTAAAGCTGGGGGCATGAAGCAGGGGGAAGCTGGGGAACACACAGCCCCCAAAAGAATTAAGGGAGCAAGTTTACCCAGGCTACAGGAGCACTGGCAGAGCTGGTGCCCACACCAGATGGGAGTACCACACCACTGCCAGGCTTTGTGCTTCGCTGCTAGATGCAGGGGGCTAGGAGGGTCTGATGAATCAGGAACTGAACTAGAACCTTCAAGGAAAAAAGACAAGGGGGTAGCTCTGTGTCCTGCTAGGAGGGGTAGTAAGAATGTGTGCAGATTGTCCACAGTGAGGCCAGAGATGATAAGATGGTATCAGGCAGAAAAGGGAGAGGGCTTCCCATGAGAATCTGGTTGGGCATGGGAGGGATACAGGGCTCAGTTATAAAGGCACCTTTGCCATAGTGGGGTGCCAGCCACACTGGGTGGGCTGCCCAGGGGCTGTCCCTACCTAAGCACTCTCCTGTCTACAGGAAGTCTTGGTGCTTTTCAAGTTCAGCATAAGGGATTCCATATATGAAGCAGGGATTCACCCTTAGAAAATCTAACCCAGTACTGTTGGAGGGTGGCAGGAATGAGTATACAAAATCAGGGGCCTTGCCTGAGCAGTTCCTTAGGGACACTGGCAGGGCTGACCTGGGATTCAGCTCTCCTGAGTGGACAGTCTGTGGTTGCCTGGGGTCCCCAGGCTGAGAAGTAGTATGGGTAATTGCACTTCGGGGTACAATGAACACAGGCACAGGCTGGATGTGGCCTGGGAGACAGAGCGGGGAGGCTGACCTGTTTTCAGGAGCTGGCTATGGCTACACAGTGCCTGCCTAGCCAGAGGAAGGCCACAGCAGAGCCACTCCACAGACTAAGACCGGTGCTCCCAAGGAATCAGACACCAGCTTGAAGGAGACAGGAGGGCAAAGCCTGCTGTCATTAAGCCCACACCGTAGCTCAGAGATCCTTCAGCCTTCTGGCCTTCAAAACAAACTCTAGGACTTCCACTCTGAAAGGCAAATAAATCATCTTGTTTTTGCTTCATCCCCTTAGTAGCAACAAAGTGCAAGGCAAACGAAGCACCTAAGGCCCAGAGAGCCTGAGGCAGGATCCCCAGCATCTCCCACCTCCTCCCTGCAGGCTGGGTGAGAGAGTATCCTGGAGAGAAAGCATCTGGATTAATTATATTGTGTTTCAGGCCCCCCGGCAACTTTCCCGGAGGTAACTATTTGCCTGGCACTAGGAAACTGGGTTTGAAAAACAGAATTTTAAGCAGACATTTTAGAGAGCCAAGGCCATTTGACGGTAGTGATTTGGTTTTATGAAAATGGTACAGGTGGTAATCCCTGATGACAGAATGGACCGAAAGTGGGACCAAGGGCCCCGAAGGATCCTGTTCAGTCTGGTTAAGGCGACAGCTGGGCGGGTGTGTGGCCGGGGAGCAGTGGCACAGCAGACTCTGGCAGTATGCTCACACCTGACCCTCGTCCCAGAGCCAGCCTGCCTGCCTCAAGGCCCTGGCAGTGACTCCACAGAACCTCCATGAGCAGAAGCCTCATAGTGAGCCAGTGCCCATCTTGTGTGCAAGGGAGAACCTGCAGTGCACATACCCCAGCCAGGGTGGCACATGGCTGCTCTTCCAATGTGAAGCCAGCACCCACTGGAGAGATTTAACCATAAAGCAGTACTTTAAAAATATTCAGTTTTGTTGTAATTACTCACTTCCTTTCCTTCCATTTAGATCTCAAAAACTCTTCTTTTTCAGTGTTGACAAAAAGAAATGTACGGGTCAGGTCTATAAAATAATACCTTGTCATAAAACAGGCTCAAAAGCATAGAAATCATGCTTTAACTGCCATTAAGAATCCATTAATTTCCATAAGATCTGTGATAAAAAAGCATCCGGCCTGTTTGTCCTGTCTTAGAGTCATGAGTCTGTTTTATGAACAGAACGAATGCCATGCTTCTTAGCATATATAAGGCAAAGTGGGTTTTTGATCTCTCATGATGTAAAGGAGATAACAAAGGTAAGGAAGGGAAGATTTACAAGTGAGACTTTTTTTTTGAGTGTCAATCTCACTGGACACACATATTACAAAATAAAGATTCTCTTCTGTAAAGTGCTGTTTGCTCAGTGAATCATGCGCCACCACAGAGCACCACGGCCCCATCTGCTCAAGAGCATGGAGGAGGCAGCACTGGCAGAGGGCAGGCCGGAGTCTGGGTTTGGGGGCCTGTTTCAGTACTGCCTCCTGGGGCTCTCCGTAGTACGGAGGGAAACCTTTCAGCATGGCGAGACACTCCCCAAGCTCTGTTCCAGGCTGGGGACCAATGTAAGCTGGAGGCAGCTGCATATCAGCGCCTGGGTGCCCCTGCTCCTGCTCTTCCCTTGGAATTGGCATTTTATTCTCTCATTCTGCTCAACACCATGGGCAGGAACTCCGCTGGCTCCCCAGTGTCCTCATGGGGCCTTCCACCTTCCCTTCCCACAGAGCTGCCAGGCAGAGGCAGGACCCAGGCATGCCTGGCCCACAAGAGGGCTTTCTAGGAGACTAAGGAGGGTTTAGAAAAAGAGAAGCCACTATAGTCACCTGCCCAGTCTATGCTATTAAAGGACATAAGAAAGGTACACAAATTGGCAGTAAACAATTTCCTTCGGCTCTTCATGGATGTCCAGGAAAATGACAACCTGCACACAATCAGACATGAATGATTTCTGGTCCAGTGTCTTCAGGCTCTGTGCAACAAGAAGAGTTTGTGTCGGAATGACAAATTCCACGTCCATCTTTATTTTCAAAGTTGGGCTCTGTTAGTGCAGATTTTTCAAAAATATTCTTTTTGCTTGTTTCTGGACAGTTTTGAACATAGATCACTCTATTATAGGCCTTGAGTCTCTTCCACAATTGCACGTATACTTTACACTGAACATACATAAAAAGAAGTCCTCCAGTGAAGCCGATGGCCACAACTACCAATTTAGTCCAAAAGGGCCATTCCAGGATTCCTGGAAGGGAAAAACTCAGCCTATTAGATTTTATTTAAGACCTGAATTAAAGAAAACATATCTGGACATCCCATTACCAACTGATTGTTTATCATTTTGTTTTTTTTTTTAAGAGATGGAGTCTTGCTACGTCGCCCAAGCTGGAGTGCAGTGGCTATTCACACGTGTGATCATGGCACACTACAGCCCTCAACTGCTGAGCCCAGCAATCCTCCTTGCCTCAGCCTTTTAAGCATCTGGGACTATATGACTACGCCACTGACCAATGGATTCACAGCTCACCAAATGTGGCTTAAGAGTGGAAGACAGTGTCCAGCTACTTCCTGCTTTTCCAGAACAGTTTATAGAGATTCTCATGCTCCAGAATATGAACTCTCTGACTGGGTTTCAACAACTACCACCACAGCAAAAGAAATGCCAAAAAGGAGGCCTGGTGCCCCTTAACTGCTATCCCTCCTCTAGAAACCCAAACTTTTTTGGCCTGACTGGAAAATCCTCTGACCCCAGGACTACTGTGAGCTATCCTCGCCACCGGTGCTGAGCTTGCTCTTCAGCCTGAGAACTCACCTGTTGCCTGCCCCTGCTTGATCTCCTCAGCAGTACGGTCAATGAGCACATACAAGGACCAGACCACACATGTGATGGCGATGATGTGGAATGTCACTGAGCACATAATCTTCCTGCGCTCGCTGGCCGTCATCTGCAACTTCTCCCACTGGAAAGACAACACGGAATGTGAGGCTCAGGCTTCTTGGGGAAGGGCTCTGGTCAGGTGAGAGCACTGTAGGTGGGTTAGACTGGCTTTTTGCCCCTTCTCCCTTCCCAAACTAGATGCATTTCCCCAAATACCCAAAGTTGTTCTCCTTTAACCAGGTACCAGGTGCAGCCAACTTTCTATGCAATGAAAAGAAGCCACGATCGAGATGAAACTGAACTATCATAAAAAATCCCCTTGTCTGCTAATTCTTGCAAGCAGACATAAAATGGCCTGATAAAGAATTCTATGATTTCAGTCCTAATGAAAACAGTATGTTGGCCCAGGACCCAGGTGCTACGTTTTAAGTCTCCCTGAGGTGTTGACTGGCATGAAGGAGCAGAAGAAGAGGGTTGATGATGCCACAGCACACTAGCAGATGGGTCACACTACATCATGAAGGTGAATGGCAGAAGACGCTCACTCTTTAGTCCTCGCTACTTTGGCAGCAACAGCTCGAAATCGACGCTAAGAGTTCCGAGTACAAGCAGACTCTGCCAGTCTCATCTCCTCTAGGAGCTCATTAATTACTGGTTTCCAAATCAGGAGAAAACACATAAAGGTAGAGAGAGAGAACAATGTGTAAACACTCTGCACATATCCTTTGCCAATCCTAGTCACAGCCTCTTTCCAGATGGGTCTATGCAAGGTAAGTTGTAAACAGAGCCTCAAGGACTTCCTATAGTGAGAGATTAGCATACAGTAGGCACCCAATAAATTACAAGGCTTCTACTGGGGCAAAACATAAGCACTTTGTGCAAGGCTTTACTAACACCTGGTTGTTTTCTGCTGGAATTTTATATACTAGCAAGTTCCCTGGTCTACCTAGCTATAACACAGAGTCAGCACCCCAGTGCCCCATGCTCCCTGCTACTTCCTACAACACATGTAGCTTGCCACCCTGTTAATGTTCACTCTCACCTTTCTGGGGTATGCTTTATTCCACAGACAGCTTGACCTCTCTAAACTCCTTTCACTCTGCCTTCAAATCCTAGTGATCTTTCAAGAACCACTCTAAAACTCAAACACCCAATGAGGCTACCACGGCTCTACTTCCCCAGCCCTCTAGCCCATAATAAGGATTTCCTTTCCTGAATGACTGATAGGCTCTACCTGCACATCATTTAAGACTTAATTAGCTAGAATATGATTATGTGACTTCTCTTACAATTTATATATAACGTTTTGAGATAGAACAGTCTTTTATTCTTCCAGACAAAACCTGCTGTGCTGAGCAAGAAAGATGTATGAAACAGTCAACATTTAAACTGGAGATCAGGGCTGCGGACACAGTTCCTCTCGGAGGGAGCAGTGACATGGGCCTCCAGACAGCTGCACGTCATGCAACATCTGTGGGTCCTTTCTGAAGACAGCTGCACATCACGCAACGTCCGTGCTTCCTTTCCTTTCCCCATCCACCTACTCACACTCCTATCCACCAAAGCCTTATCGTAGGTTTATACAGATAAATTTACTGTGTGCTACACAGTGCTGGGTGCTGGGGAGAGATACTGATCTTCAACAGACAGTCCTAATCAAAGCAGCAGGATGTCAACAGTTAATATGTATAAAGTTAGGTGCTAAGATACATCACAAACAGTCTGTGGTCAAAGGCCAGATGACTGACACTGACAAGCAAGCAGTCTTAGTTTGAAGGGAAAAGAAGATTATGAATGGTTTCCTGAGGGGAGGGAGTTGGAAATCAGCACCAGAAACAACAATCTCTACAATGCAAACGTAAACACCAGCCCCAGCTTTTTAAGGTAATGAATGCAGGCAAGCTATGATCCCATGATCTGTGACACCAGCTCTCCGGGAGTCACTGGTTTCAGGAAGGGTGAAACACTTGTGGGAACATCCCTTCCTCCCACGTACTTTTCTCAGTGGCTTCAGCTTGGTCTCCATGACAAACTCGTACTTGCAGAGCTCGCAGCAGCGCGTGTCGGAGCTCTTGATCCACTGCTGCAGGCAGGCCTGGTGCACGAAGTGGAGGCTTCCTGTGCAGCGGCAGGGGGTGATGAGGGGGCTCTCGTCGTCTCCTTCACAGTGGCAGATCCTACGGTGGAAAGAAAACCCGTCATTCCAAGGAGAGCCCCACGACAGGGAAGCTGACGCTTCAGTGGAAGGTCAATTCCCCCAAAGAAAACTTTCAGAAACGAACATGACAGAAGTGACTACGGGCACAAAAACATACAAACACAAATGAAAACAATCACTACAAACTAAAAGTTTCTAGCTTACCGCACCAACATGGAAAGTCTGGAGGGCATTTGGCAACAAAAAGGAAAAAATGACGTAAGAAATGACAGAGTGGTCATTTTTTGGTAAGACATGAAACTTCCTTCCTTGAAAGGTGAATTTAAAGCAACATGGAATCGTTTTCCAGAACATAAGATGGTAAAATAATTAGACGGAAAATTTCTATATAAAACAAAACCAGCATTCCAACTTTCAAAAATACCACAGTGACTTTAAATGATGACATCTGCTTTTTAGATATAATCACTGACTTTACCTTCATACCCCACCACTACACATTTCTGTTATCCCTCAGGAAGTAAAGACCACAGTACCTCTCCTAGACCTAAAAAACTCACCATTACAAGATGCTGCAATTTCATTTCTTTTTCTTGGGACCACTAACAGCAGTAAGTGAGAATTAATTTGAAAGCACTCATTATTTCCAAGGAAGTATGCAGCAAGATATAGCTATTGGCCTGAAGGAACTTAACAGGCTTTTAAGAAACAGAGGGGTCTTTTCCAGCAGCTAGAGAACAGGCTGGGGCACCTGTCCTGGAAGGAGCCAGGGTCTCAGGCTATTTGTTTTAGTGAGGGGGGTCTCTGATACAACTTTTGGAAATGGCAACAAGGAGGAAGGCACAAGAGTCGTAAGAAGTGAATTCTGGAGGCCAGACAAGGATACTGCATAAGGGAAGATAAAGGTGGGAAACAGAGTTAGGGCGGGACAAAGGAAGGAAGGAAGGACGGACGGACGGACGGACAGAAGGAAGGAAGGAAGGAAGGAAGGAAGGAAGGAAGGAAGGAAGGAAGGAAGGAAGGGGCTACTGGAAGGAAGGAGCTACTGGAGAACAGCCAGTCCCCACACACCTTTTAGGGGTAGGTGGGGAGCAAGGGTTAAAAAAGAGGCTGGGAAATGCAACAATGCTTAAAATCTGGACCATCAGGCTGGAGAGCTGGAGCTACTAATTTCTTTCTTCCAGTTTCTTTATGTAAAGTCTACTTATTTTTAGTTGAGAAGAGTCAGCTTGGCCTTTAATATGTGTAGCTTCTTCCTTTTTTTTTTCGTTCGCAAGAGAGTTTCACTCTTGTCACCCAGGCTGAAGTGCAATGGTGCAATCTCGGCTCACTACAACCTCCGCTCTCTGGGTTCAAGCAATTCTCCTGCCTCAGCCTCCCAAGTAGTGGGGACTACAGGCGCCCACTACCATGCCCAGCTAATTTCTGTATTTTTAGTAGAGACGGGGTTTCGCCATGTTGGCCAGGCTGGTTTTGAACTCCTGATCTCAGGTGATCCACCCGCCTCAGCCTCCCAAAGTGCTGGGATTACAGGTGTGAGCCACCACGCCCGGCCAGCTTCTTCCTCTTATCATTTGTGAAACTATCTTGGGACCCATGTCATAAAAATTAAGTTTTTCAAATGATATTGATACTCTACTCTTCTGGAGAAAATGATTAACCCATAACTGGTTATAACTTCCTATTACTTCATTTTCCTGAAACTTCACATATTAAAGCAAGGTGAGGCTCCTGATGTGAGCAGAGATGGCTAGAACGGCACTTCCTGGCAAACCAACCTGCAGGCATCCCCTGATGTGGACACGGGAGATATGGGGGCTAATTTTTCAGAGAGGGGAGAAGGACAATCCAGGTCGCTGTCCTTTTCCATGGAGCAGAGGGGAGCCCGCAGAACCCTACTCTTCAATTTTGCAGATGTGCTGTCCTCAAAGACGTCGTCATCTCCCATGTCGTCAGAGCAGAAGCCCGTGCTCCCTGCCAGCCCACTGGAAGATTTGGCAGTGTGCAGGCGAGCGGTGCAGCTCTCCAGCTCGTGGAACCTGTGCAGGCTGCTGGCGCTCGAGCCATGAGAGAGTGAGAACAGGTACCGGAGCAGTCGCCGGCTTCGGGATGTGGCCTCGCCATCTGCCTTCTCTTCCAGCAGCTGGCCAGGCCTGCCCCGCTTGCCAGCTTCCACCTCTGAGGCAGCTGAGTGACTGGCAGAAGGGCATGAAATACAAGAATGTTTGGAATTGCCAAGAGGTTTGTAGTTCAGGGTTCTTTTTTCTTTACGATGGTACCTGCTGGTTCTGAGGCACGAATCTTGAGGAAATATTAATTTTCCTTCAGAACAAGTTCTTTCCATATAAGCAAAACTTTCCGAAGAATCCTGAGCCTTCTCACCCACATCACTGAGGGATCTTGAGAACTTTAGTGTTCTTCCGGGTTTGGTATTGTTAGCAGGCCTCAAGGCCTGGACCCATTCTGAACCAAAGGAATTTCTCTTTGACGCCTGTAATGTGTCCTTACAGATAACTGTCACAGTGAGCCCTTGTGTCAGAGAATTCTGGCAGTGAGGAGCTTTCAAGACAACAGCAGACTGCACGGAACTGTGGTGACAACACTCAGAAAACACTGCACTGGAACTGCATGCAGAACAGTGGGATAAAAGCACAGAAAGTAAAAACAATTTTAAAAGAGAATAGACATCATAGGGAAGAAATGAAATTTGCATGGGCAACTTAGTGCGCAAACCACACAAAAAACTGGGTGAACTGTTTAGACCAAAGGCAGACTGAATAAGCAAATGGAAATTCAAGAACCCGCAGACACTAATGCTTATTTCTGGTTGCACATTGATCACAGCAGCATCTGAAGCAGAGTGTTACCTGCAGATGTCCTGGCTGGACGGCGTGATAGAAGTGCGAGAGAAGGTGGACACCGGAGCTGATGCTGACGTAGGACTCCCAGCCTGCAATGACAGACCTCTGGTCACTGTTCAGAAAGAGCCAAGTCTCTTTGTGCACTGTCTCCTGGACAGTGTCGGGCAAAAACCCTAGAAATATCTGCTATTTCCCGCTGTTCAACAAGTAACATGTATTAGGTCCCTCTAAGCCTAGGCAAAACAAATCAAATAGCACTATTTTTTTTCTTATCTGTGGATAAAAGTATAACCAAGAAATGTCTGAGGTTACAGAACACCACTACTAATCTCCCGCAGGTTCAGGGGCCGTTTATTTTCTAAGCATCTAAATTGAATTCGTTCATATATAAGTGAAGAAACCAAGTACTACAAGATATCATGCAAATGTCAAAGAAATATGAGGCTCCAGGCCTGCCAGCACAGGGTTCCCCAGCACTCTCATCTAGTTCCCAAGATCCCCCAAGGCTGGCAGATTTAAGAGCTCTCTCTTACCTCACAACCTCATGCACAGTGCCAGATGCCCCTGTGCTCCACAGAACCTCACTGCCCTGCCACAGCTCTTCACACAAAAGGGAGACCAGACCACCTGACCACAGGGGCCACCAGGGATTGAGGAGGAACACAGAATACTCCCAATAGGTCTAATCTTGGAACTGTAAATTAAGAAAAATAATCAAGAAAATTTAGATTTGAAACAAAGTACAGCGAGAGGTCACAGGATAGAAGAGAGCCTCTAAGGTGGTGAATGGTTAAAGTTAGAGAAAAAAATCTAGGAAAGACAGGAAGCACCTCAGTGAGGAGAGAAATGGAGAGAGAAATAGGGACGGTACCCGCTGAGCTGAAGATACAGCACCACCACTAGAGGGCCCCAGACACCCACGCCAGCCTCAGATTCCCCAGGCTCCACAGCCCCCAGACCCATGAGTATTCATAAGCATTCTTCCCTTCTTAAGACGGTGAGCTTCAATGAGAATCTGCTCCATGCAACCCCAACAGCCCCAAGAAAACAGTGCCACATGTTTGTTATCACTGTTAAGGCCGTATCACCACCCACCTTCTGCAGGCCCACCTGCATGGCCCTTGGCCCTAACTCCTTGATACAAGGGAGCTCCACCCTGGCCTGCAACTCCCCAGCTGAGGCCTAGTCCCAATTTTTCTAAGTGCCATCCCCAAGGGTGCATTCCCATCCTGGAACTCTACCCATGGGACCCCTGACATTGGTCAGTCACGAGAACAGATATGGTCATTGCCCAGAAACTCTTCCTCTCCCTCCCTCTCACAGCAAATGCAGCAGCCTGGAGAAAGCCAGGATGGCACTCAAATTAAGGTGCCCATCGCATGGTTGCTCCCACTTCCAGCGCAGAGATTAAACACCACTTTAATCCAAGTCCATCTAAAGAAACGAGATCCAAGAAGCTCCTCATCAGCATGCTGCACATGTATGCTGAGATCACGCCGCACCAATCCATGAGCATATCTTCAAATTCACCAAAGAATCTACATTTATTTTCTAACTGAACGTGCATATGGGCATGGGGTATATGGTCTTTAAAAGCATTAGAAGTCAAAGTTCTTAAGAATCTAAAGTTTACTTGGAGACATGAAAATAGCATCCTTGAAATAACCCTCCCATCACTACCTTTTGTCAATATTCTTCCTAAAACAATGTGGGAAACATCTTAGGATGCCTGTGGACACTATGCTGTGACATCCTTGTATCCTCTAGGTCTGACTGCATGAGCCATTGTCCTCTTTCTCCAACTGCATTAAATACTGTCTTCTTTCTCCAGCATCGTCCTCTCGGGGCACCTATCACTGGCTCCCCCTGCCCCAGAGACGAGCACTCAAGGCCTTTTGTTGTCATGGGCTTTACTGTTTATACCACAGGGAAGCAGGTTGAGGGGGACCCATGCTAAGGTCCCCAAACTCCTACAATCCCCCTGTTCTCTGACATTTGGTCCTTACACTATTCTAGGACTGAAAGCCTTCCTGAACTTATTGCTGTCTTCTGTTACTTCTGAGGATGACCAGCTCTGTTCAACACACAAAGGCAAGGCTGAATTGTGTCATGAAGACTACAGCCTGATCATGGTGTATTACAGAAAAGTGAGCGTCTTTATCACCTGTTCCCAGGTAGACTTTGAGGAAGGAATATCCAGCAATAGTCACATGCCTGCCCCTCACTGCTATAAGGTCACCTCTTCTTCCTCTGTGTTGCTGGGTCAAACATAGTCCCTGGAACTGAAGTATGGAAGGAAGCCCCTGCCATCCAAGTGATGGCAGCAGAAGAAAGTACCTAGTCACCATCCTCCCTTTTATCTTAGTTAGAGCATAGTCCTCTTGGAACCTCGTGTACATTCCTGTACTGTGAAGAAAAGGCAAACCCTGTGGGAGGAGGTGGTATCTTATCTGGAAAATGGTGCCCAATCAGGGTCAGTGTCCTAGGGGGAGGTAGGTTCCTGATGGGAAAACTAAAGTTCTGAACTCCAGTACTGAACTACAAGTAATTCATGTCAAAAAAAGGTACTCTGGGACGGGCACGGTGGCTCACGCCTGTAATCCCAGCACTTCTGGGAGGCTGAGGCAGGTGGATCATGAGGTCAGGAGATTGAGACCATCCTGGTTAACATGGTGAACCCCGTCTCTACTAAAAATATATGTATTTTTAAATTAGCCAGGTGTGGTGGCATGCACCTACAGTCCCAGTTACCTGGGAGGCTGAAGCAGAATTGCTTGAACCTACGAAGTGGAGGTTGCAGTAAGCCGAGATCATGCCACTGCACTCCAGCCTGGGTGAGAGTGAAACTCCATCTCAAAAATAAAGGGTACTCTAAGGTAATGATTCCATCTTTGCCTGCCCATGAGGAGGAGGAGCAAGACCTGAAGGAAAGAGGGTAGAGCCTTGTAACAGAACAGAGCCTGGATTGAGGAAGCAGCCATACCAGGTGCACACACACCAGGACATGTGTTCACTTCCCTGTGTGGTTCCCCGTGTGTGTGCACTTGCAGCAGACGTCAAGGCCAGCATGACAGTGACAGTGGACCCAAGAAGGAAGGGAATTCTTGCAGGGCTGGGGAGATTCTGCCCTGCTCAATTTTACTTAGGAAATAGGAAATAGCCTCGGCAGCCTCTGTCTACATTCCTGCTCTCATTTCACATTTCACCCTTTCCAATCTTATGAAAACATTACAGGATACTTTCAGCAGGTATGTCTAATCCTCATCAAGCCTCTTAATGACAGAGAAAGGCTCTCTCTTCTGATTAGATCATAAAATTTCAAGAAAAATTTAAAAATCTACTTATTGTTATTTTACATAAATATAAACTTCAACAAATGCCAACTCCTCCAATAAAAGCAAGAAAACCAGTAAGATTTGTGGATTCATCACAGCTCCCAGAAGAGTCTCCTTCTGTCACTAAAGAACAGCAAACATTTCAAAGGTTAGGACAAATCTATAGGCAGAATGGTCACCAGAAACAATTTTAAAGAGCTTTATTTGTTGCTGGTATAGATAGAGCTGAGAGAAATCCATCAATCAACAAAGATCTAAAAGACTGGCCTGATCAACAACAAAATAAAGCTGACAGTTTCAAATATGGTTCCATGGTCAGATTCTGGAAGCCACTGTAGTCAAAGGCCAGCAATCCCCTCTTAGGAGCTCTGTAGGATGGGACCTCAACTAGATGGGACAGGACTAGCCATCCTGCTGTTTCTGAAAGCAGCAGACAGTGTGGCACACGGGAGCTGGGGCAGTACTAGCCTCAGTGATCCGTAACACACAAAACTCCAGAAAACACCTACACTCTACTCTCCATTAGATCAGACCACACACGACTCAACAGTTACTAATAGAAGTACAAATGTTCACCATGCAAAAATACAAATGTCTCAAGAAAACTCAGGCCCTCTGCTCCTGAAGTTCTTTGTGCATTGTCAAATGACAGACTTTCCAGTCATGAAAAGGAATATAAAGCAATCTCACTACAAAAATATTCTCGTAAAAATTCCCTCTTCTTAAGAAGTTGTTAATTAATTATGCCAAAACAAACCTCTGGATTTCTATCCAAGCCTAAATACCAGTTTATTTCTTAGAAATGACAAAACTTTTTGACAATTTGTTTTGTTACATTCAAGTCTCTCAGTGGCTGGCTTTCTTATCAAATTCACTGTTTTAAATGATTTTAACAAGACTTCCAAAGAACATATGGGGAAAAAGCCTTTCTATACATCCTTGGCAGAAACTGGCATTCCCCTTCTCTCAGTTCCCTCTTACAGTGCCTGCTATCACTGGAGCAGCTATGGCAGTGTGCTTACCCAGCTGACGTCACACACCTCCTCACTGCAGGACACCAGCATGCCTTCCTTGGCCTCTGGTACCTTCTGCCAGGTTACTCCTCTATTACCCATGCCCCTCCTTTTCTATGCATCCCCCTGACTGGGCCTTCTTTTCACTTACCAGCAAAGCTACTTTTAAACATTTAGGTCACAGGCCCCTAACAAAAGCAAACTTGCCCATCTGATTTATCTTCAAAGGGAGAGGACCACAGGAATGGTCTGTTTGGGTGAGCTTGTTTTTAGGCAAGGAGGAACCTGAAGAGAGGCTAGATAAGGATGGTTACGAGACGAGAAGAGCTCGTTTTTACAACTGACCTCAAATTACAGTACAGCCAATCAATGACTTAATAGAAACAATAGGAAAAGATGCACAGACAGCTCTCAAAACATAAACATGAAAAGATACTTCACTTCTCTCACAATGAGAAATGCAAATTAAAACTAAAATGAGATACCCTCATCAGCCAAGAAAATTAATCAAGTAATATGTGTTGGCAGAAGCGTGGAGAAGCAGTATAAGCAATTGCTTATATATTGCTGGTGGGAGCAAATGGTGAACTTCCCTAGGATGTCAAAAGGCACATATATGTTGTCTCGGCAATTCTTTTAGGAATTCATCCCCACACACCTGTGGGAAGAGGTTTGCACACTGCAGTGTTTGTGACAGTAAAGGGCTGGAATCATCCTAAATGCCCATCAGCTCAACTGAGG